AGGTGTGAATATGTCAGGTGAGGGTACAAGGTCTTGCCCTCTTTCATGGACCATAGCTAAAACACTAATTTAACATTTAACTATTCAGAGCCACAATAAGATGATCTTTACATACTTAAATCAAAATGCTCTACATCTAGTTTTGCTTAAAAAAAATAGGGGGGAGGGGAATTTTGGAATTTTATTTGGCTGCTGCCACTCAGAAATAACACAGTAAGGTAAACTGGGAGAATGATGACTTTTAACATGTTAACCACTGACCATGCAACATTTTCATCAGTGTAAATATAACTCCTCATTATTCTGCCAAAGTTACACTGAATCATACAACCACCAATGAAGTCACGCTTTCTAAATAGATATTCTTATTTCACATAAAAACATGCTAATGAAAGTGCTTTAAATTTTAGGTAGTTCTTCTTTCTGGAACACTGGTGTGTGCTACCCGATAAATAGGAATGTTGGGAAAACTGATTATCCAGGGAAAAATTCAGTTAGTGTTCAAACAAGTTCTTAGGGTAGTTGTATATGGAAAAAGCCCGGAGGTACTCAAGGATTGGCATCAGCATATTTACATCCACATTTACCTCAATTCAGTGTTAATAAATCCTTCATCATGACCAACACATTAATTACAGAGTGCAGAGAGCCTCACAGATCTCCAGCAAGTTACAGGCTAGGTTATTACTTCATATTGCTGAGGAACATAATAACCCATAGTTATGAATAAGGACTCCATCATGACCAGGTGCTGCATGATTTGAAGGCAACATCTCACAGATCTTACACTTGAAAGCAAAAAATTTGCTCCTACATTAGTCAACCCAAAGCAGGTGATACTAATTTCTCAGTTATTTTTCATCCTTTCAGGTGAACTGAAATTGTATACATTCAGTTTTTTTCTTTTGTGTTCCAGAGAGAGCACTTGAATGATTCTGGAGGCTAAAAGAGACCAAGCAATACACAACTACAGAAACAATGCTTACAGCTCACACAGTTATTTCCTAAATCATGTATGAACTGGGGACACTGTCATTTATGGTCCTGAAGAGGTACCCTGTTCTAGTGCTGGCCTTCCTGCCTGTGGGGACAACAGTTCTTTGTAGGTATTTTGGGACAGAGCAGGTCACTTGTGTCACCTCACTTGAACTCCTACACTGAGAGCAGACAGCCAGCCGGGTACTCCTGACCTCAGCCCAACATCTCCAAGTGAAACAAGAACATGCCACATTTACATATATCTGCAGGAAGAGCACAGGAATGTTTAAATTCAGTACAAGAGGGGAATACAGAATTACTTAACACACTCAATTACTTAACGCACACAGTTTGTTGCATTTTCCCTACATGAGAGTATATACTAATATATTTTATATAGACATAATATATATTAATATATTATGAAAACTGACTTAAAATACACCAGACTCCAGGGGCAGGTGACACTGAACATAGTCCACAACCTTTCAACACCAAGTTCAAACTCCAGTCCAGCTCACAAAAAAAAAATTTAAATGAGATTCCTAATCCTTAATTCCTGAAGTTTGGATACATTTTTTCAAAGTGGTGCAATTGCAATTGCATAACACAAACAAGGAGAAGTGCCAAAAAATGGGATTGAAACTTCTCTAGTGTCTGATTAACTCTACTTGTATTTCAGGCCCCAGTCTGACATGTGCCTGAATAGCTGAATGCCAGATGAGAGGGAAGGTGGCAGGGATAACCTAAATATTTTTATTAGGCTGTTGAAGTGTTTTTGACACAACAGTAACATCAGACCTTTAAAAATGCCACCCTAAAAATTATCCTTAAGTTTATCTATCAGACAACATGCATTCAGTATTGGAATATCTTTATATATAAAAGTTGTGAGGTTCATCTTTATTTCCAAATTAAACTCAATAGCAAAAGGAGGATAAACATAAGGAAGATAAATGTAATTCCAATGAGCACACCAGTAATTGGATAAGTCTGGGAAAAACTGTTGGGCTAGCTGCAAAGATGTGAACTCAGAGAATAATTTCTATTGCTAAACAGGGAGCTGGCTTTTTCTTTGAACTTCAGGGGAAATGAGAATAAACCAGTTATTATAAAAGATGATAATTTAGTATCATCATAGCACTTTCTAAAAACCTAACTAACAAGCCAAGGCATGAGCAAAAGCTAGTTATTTACTTCCAAAAATATAACTTTGTTTAGCTCCAAACAAATACTTCCACATACAAGACTGAAAAAAGATCAGAAGGTATAGCAGCTATTTTGAAACCTACATTTCCATTGAACATCTTACTTTATTTATATATTCCCCACTTTCCTTGAAGTAGTGCCCACACAAACAACATTTCCCACTTTGGAGAATGACCATTAATTTCACACCACAATGTTTTTTCTAGAAATATAATTACACAGAAGACAAGTATTCTTTATTAAAATATCTGAAGGCATGTTAGGTAGTTATGACTGGTAGTTATTCAGGAGCAAAGGATGTTATATTTTCTATTTTTTCTTTCCCTTTTCTTTCCTTGTTTGCCAGCTAACGGAGCTTTAGAGATGTGAAGTAGTGACTTGATCCCAATGCATTTTTAACATTGTAGTAAATAATGCAGTCAGGTATGGAATAATTAGGCTGAAACTGTTCTGTGCAAGACAACTATTCTTATGCACGCTTGACATCAACAAATGCATTGTCCCAAGGCCTGGCACATTGCAAATGAATTCTGACATTTTCCTATGATTAATTATTTTAAAATAATTTCTTCATTCTACTTGTATTTTACAGTGTAACTGGGATGTACATTTTACAAATATTTGAGCTCCTAGTATCTCACAGTTTGGAAAATGAATTATTCTTATAGGCATAGCTATGTCAAGATCCAAAAGCCAGTGTCAAAACAAAATACAACTGAATCTGTTCCTAATTTCTTCTTGTTGCTTTCATTATCCTACAACTATGAGAGTGTGCCTTCTGATCATACACTCAGCATAACATGCCATTTACAAGTTCAGTGTCATACTCCAGCATGCATGTCAGACATGTCAGCATAGTGTCTGAATCAAAAGTTGTGAGTACACTGTGAAGTTTAAATTATGAAATATTGTCTCAGAATTACATTTCTCCTGTCATGGAAGTGTTCTGCTGATGAAGTCATAGAAAGAACACAGCCACATGAAATGATTCAATGCATCCAGCTAGGAGCCAACACTCAGCAAAAGTTACATGCAGGACAAGGGAAAAGAGGTAGGAGAGAAAGAGGAGAGAGACAGGAGGATGTGAATTAAGGGATGGAAGCAGTGAAAGATGGGATGAATGAATGCACATTCATATAAAGCACAAAGATGTAATTTTATACCAATTCTTCTTTGCTGGTTCACAGAAATCATTAAAATGACTGCTAATTACAAGGTGTCTACCTCCAGTCTCCAGGAGGAGCAAATTAGGTCAAGCATTTAATGGAGACAAATCCTCAAAATCCTTCACTTTTCAAAGTGCCAAGCTTGTCTGTTTCCCTTATGACAGATACTTATAAGTTCTGAAGTTGCCACATTCTATTATGTGAATGTACAAATACCTAGCTTTGGAAATAGATGCAGACAATGAATAGGAAATATGATATGGGCAGGGAAGGTAAGAAATGTGTTGGATCTTCAGCACTTGAAAATAAATCCATGTGAAGTGTCAGGCCCAAAAGTACAACCCAGTATGCAAACATCATACCAGCATTAATAAAAGAAGGTGATTAAGAGCTGCAGCTAGCAAAGAGTTTTACAAAGAAAACTAGATTCTTGATGAAAAGACCACTTTCAAAGATTTGCTTTCCTCAGAAGCTGTGATGTTCTGCTGTTTGCTATGTCTTTGGATAAGAGACGCCTTTGAGAAATTTGCTTTCAAATCCCTTTGTATGTGGCAAAGCCAATTGCTTCTAATGGAACTTAGCACTCAACTCTGGTTACTAAAAATTTAATATTTCCTTCTCAATTTCTACTACTCTCAAGACCTACCTTTATAAGAATTCAGGGATGTGACAAATTCCATACCCTAATCTTGATGTTTTGATTCACGAAATCTGAGACTGCCTGCCTCTGAGAAGACTACCTCAAATCAAAACTGATATCCTGAAAGAGGGTAAGAATAGCAAGCGAAAAAATGGAGCTCAGTTAGATCTGAAGAACTCAGAGTTTTTACTAGACAGGACAGATTTCTATTACAAAACCTGTTAAGCATGTTACTTGTGAAAGCCTGAATTTATCTCAAGTAATAATAGGCTGCTAAAAACAAATAAAAACAGAGAGGAAGTGTGAAATGACAAGATAAAGAATTTAATAAACACATTAACATCAGGGTGAAATTTTTCAAAGCGAGTCCTTACTTTTCATAATAAAGCCTATCCCTAAATGCATTCTTCATCCCAGCACAACAATACTCACTTTCTGTGTGTGTGTGTGCATGGTTGTTGAAGATTAGAGACTGGGGCCAGTAGGGGAGGTTCAAATAGATGCAGGGCACTTGAAAGCAAATCAGAATTGTCTCCAAAGAGCCACTTCCTGCTGATGACTAAGCCTTCACCCAAACAGTCAAGAGGAAGGGGCATAAGCAAAGCATTGCAAACGACCATCCCGATTATATCGGAGTGGAGACAACGAAGACAAACAAACTCAGGAAGTGGCAGGGGGTTAGAAACCGAGAGGAAATCTATGGCACAGGGAGGAAAGTGAAGAGATTGCGCCGATCTGCAAAAAGGTCACCTCTGGGTCGCACTGTGCCAAGCTTTTTCAAACCCACTTTATTTGGACTAGAACACAAAACTGGCACACACAGCTGGCGACTGCTGCAGGGGCTATTCAAATGTTAACATTCTCAACGATAAACAGCCAAAAAAAAGTTCCGTGTAAGCAAATTGGAACAAACAACTAATCTAAAACTGGTTGCTAAGAGATGGAGGATTTCAGCCAAAACCATTCCAAAGCCCCAAGAATACCTTATTTTGGATCACAAAAAGTACCTGTAGATGACGCCATGTTGGTGAAGAAACATGAGTGCTGATGTGACCTCTGCAGCATAGAAGCGGGATCGAGGTTCGTCAAATTTGCGTGAGCGTTGGATTTGAAACATTAGGTCTCCTCCATTTACATATTCCATGACGAAAAAGAGGCGGTCCTGAAATTAATTAAACAGTGCTGTTTAGCTAATTTCTTTTAGTGACATAAAGGACTCTTGAAGCCACACTTTAAATGACTGGAGCATTTACATAAAGAAATAAAAGAAACTAATGCTACAATTCTGAAAAAGAAGAAAGCTAACAACCAAAAGCCACCAAATCTAAAGAAAATGAGATGAATCTTAAAGTGAGAAATGAGAAAAAGGCAATCAAAATATCGTACTAAACAACACACACACATAAACATGCACACATCAACAAATACACATGGAATTATAATCAAGTTCACATAATAACAGAGATACTTAACTAATGTTATTTCTTTTATAATTTAGCCATTTTAGTTTTAGAAAACTTAGCCATAATAACTCATTAAAAAATATGTCAATTTTGTCAACTATTGACAGGCTGCTGGGCAAATTTCAGTCTTCTTTCTACACTTCTCTCTTACCAGTTATTTTGTCTGCAAAGCATCTTCCCCAGATAACGAAAAAATTATTTAGAACTGCTAAGCTACAGAAACCAGTACTGCCAATCTCAAATGTTTATATATGTTTTTTTTCAATTGCCTCAAACTCTCATAATGAAATAGGATTGTATTATTAAAATATGTTTCAGGTTATTCTAATGCTTATCACTTCCCTGTTCAAGCTTTCAAACTTATTTCCATGATGGAAGACTAGAAATGAATGTTCCTTGAGAACAGCAACTGAGGTTCTCAGGCAGCCACACCAATAACCCAAAAGTTCAACACATGTTAAAACAGTCAGAACTGAAAATATGAGCAAACTAAATCTGTGCTAGGCATCTTGAACCATTTATTATCTAAACTGGCAATGCAGGTGAAGGCATAAGGAAAGAAATGACACACAGCTATTTGATATAATTTAGATAAATTTTTAAAGTGTTTCTTACAAATTTTCATATATTTCTCCAGTCAAGGGGAATACCCCTAAATAATACCCCTAAATCTTCATCTTCATGCCTGTCCACCCTTGGTGAATGCTTACTCCACAATCTCTATTTCTTTACTGTTAATTATCTACAGCTATCTGCACATGTAGATAGCTACAAGTACAGGGGAATGCACATGTTGCTATCTACATGTGTCCCAGTCAAGAGGAATACCCCTAAATAATACCCCTAAATCTTAATCTTAGTGCCTGTCCACCCTTGGTGAATGCTTACTCCACATTCTCTATTTCCTTACTGTTAATTATCTACAGCTATCTGCACATGAGTTTAGTTAGAGGTGAGGTAATCCTTTATGTGACTTGACACAAGACATTTCTTTCCCTGGTCACATGGTTCACATGTGTGTGAGCACGGGACCTCACCCCTCTGCAGCTCTGATGTCACACTGCAGTTTGGCTCTAGTTTCTAGTGTCTTGTGTGCTGGGTTGAAGTAAAGGGGACAAGATATGACATTGCTGTGGACAAGGAAAAGCAACAGAACATCAAAGTTAATTAACCTCCCCAAAGTAAATCCAAGCCTGCAGATTACATAGTTTATATATATGAAACCAAAAATTCATAAATGTTTGTCATTTGCCTTTTATCATCTACTCTACAACTCAGACTCGGAGCACAGCACTTCAAAATATCCTTGAACTTCAGCATGTGCATTAATGCTGCTCATTAAGTCCCTAAATGTTATACTTATCAGGGATGCTTCCTGGAGGAGGCTAGAAATGTTTGTCTGACTTTTTGCTGATTACAGAAAGAGGATGTAGAAAAAAACCTTGTGCCTTTCCTCCCATATCTTGGGAACACAGAAACTGCTGGGCTAGATGAAATTTGGAAAGCCAGGTGAACTGGCATACTTGGTAAAACATCGTTAATGACATTGGTACATTTTCCAACATTTTTCTTATCATTCCCTAGGAAGGAAAACATCCTGAAGAATAGCACCAAAGCTTCTGGCTGCATCATACACCCAAAAGAGCATGGATTCAGAGTCAGGCCTTTGCTCTTTCTGTAATTCTCAGTACTGCTGATATGATCAAAATCACAGTGCAGACCTTGTGACATCAGTGTAGGGTTTAACTATCACCCTCTTTTCTTCTTTAAGCAAAAATATGGGTCCTTGTGCTGTGTGTCTGATTTATCTTTGGAACCAGTAAGAATTACAGCCTTACTTCTAAAAGAAAATCTGGTAGTTCTCAGATAGTGTTGGGATTTTAGAAGCTAGAGCTTAAGGATAACCAATACAGTCAGGTTTGTGATGAAGTCAGTCAAAAGCACAGCTATAGTGCTACTGGAATATAAGAGGATACAACATCCCTACGAAGAAGATGTGGACATGGTCCTTTGTTAGGCTTCTCACTGCTGCACCACAGAATGAGTATCTCTGAAGAGCATTTTCAAGCATCCCTTTGCAGGTCTTTCCCTGATTATCTTACATGGATACAGTTCAGTGTTTCAAGCCAAAACCCATTGGACTGCAGGCTGAGGAGAGCACAACTAACACTTAGCTAAAGTAACTTTTCCTAACACTTGTTGAAATGGAACTTTCTTACACTGCTATTTTAACCTTTCTAAAGTCAACAGTCTGGACTTGAGTGGGATCAACAAGAAAAAACAAAGCTGCAATTCCCATTCTCCTGAGTAGCCATACTCATTCCCAACATTGCTATCATTTTGCTGCATCTACAAAATAGGTAGAAAATAAACAATGCTGATATGATGGTGCTGTGCCTTTTACAGCTGTGACTCCCAAATGGTGACCCTCAACTTGTCACTGAGCTGGGAGTTGCTGCTCCCAACAGTGATAACACCAGAAAAAGACTGATATACACAGTTGTATAGATGAAGGCCACTTCCTAACATGTCAGAATAGACTGTTTTTTTCTCACATTAAATACTCTGTGTTTGATCAAATGGTTTGTGTGACATTCACTAAATGCCTAATTGTTGATAATTAATGCCAGAAATTGTGTTTAGTTAAAGCTTCAAGTTCTTTTATTGTAGTCCAGTCTCTTTCAGATCACTAACAGTTTAGCTAACTGAAAATTTAACCTGGACTCTTTAGCAGAGTATCTTGTCACCAGACAGTCTGAGCAAAAGTTTGAGCTGGACATTTATACATATCAATCATCTCTCTCTCTCTCTCTCCACCTTCCTTTTTGTGCACATCCCATTCTTAATTTGAAAGGGTATTTCTGACAGATTCTGCAGCTTCCTTGACAATCTCATCAAAAGTGTCCCTACTAAAAACAGAATTAACAGCTCAGGAATTGAATTTGTTCAGCTACTGGTTTTTTCTGCTACATATCTATATTTCAAGTCATTTTCACAGCTTTCCTCAGTAAACAATTCAGTTTTCTACTGACAATTCACAGGAAAACAAAATAGTTTGAAAGTTCTGTTCTCTGTTTACAGTAAGTCTGAGAAAGCATGGAGTAACCAACAAGATGCACAACACACACAAGCACAGCAGACCAGAATTTCAACATTAGAAGGTATAATCTTTCTTTGATTAAATATATTCAGTCCCTATGGAAAAAACTTTCGTAAAAGCACTCTCTGGTCTTTCTTTTTAGTCAGGAGAATGATGTGATCAGCTGAGACTCACATTTACTTGAAAAGAAGATGCAAAAAAAGAAGAGAGAATATTTTATGAACAGAAGCTGAGATTGATAAATCAGGTTTTTTTTTTATTTCCACAACCTCAAGAAAAAAAGACACTCTATTTAGATTTTTGCACTCAAACTTTTTTCCATATCTTTCTTCAAAGGTTAATGTTCAAAATACATGTTTCCAACCCTCTGACTCCTTCCTTTCTGTCATAATGCAAGCACACACACAGTGACCCAATGAGACCTCTGAGTTCAATGCAGAGAGGATTAAATCCTCCCACTAGCAGTGAAATAACTGTATTATTCCTGATCATATGTATCTTGCTACATGTACCACCAGGAGTTATTCAAACATTGAAGTATGAGAACATAAAATGAACACCCTTAAGAATTATACATTAAGAGACAATGCAGTGTTTACTCAGTTAAAAATACGATACAAGGTATGACTTTATTATCAATTGTGTTCCAAGAGAAAATGGAATGGGTTTGGTTTCGACTGCATTATTTTTGAACTGGTTTTCATAAGATTTGGGAAGTATGTTTTGATGAATAAAATAAATGTAAAGCAGTCCGATGAACTCTAACTATATAAACTAAAATCAAAGGCAAGATCACAAACAAAGACATTACAGATTAATCCTCTCTTGGCACCTATAAAGCAAAAAAGGTACTGCAAAGTAAGCTAATATGTTTTCTGAAGTAGAGTAAACTAATATGTTTTCTGAAGTAATTTGATTCTTTTTCAGGGTTTTTTTTTTAGCCCTTAATCATACTGCTTTTCCTTGAATTTCTCAAAAGATATGGTTAAATGAGAATACTTAAAATAACAAATGGAGGCAAAAGCAGAGCACAGCACATGAATAAGAGATATCAAAAGAAAACTGGATGTGAAAAAAAAAGTAAAAAAGTAAAAAAAAAAAAAAAAAAAAAAAAAAAAAAAAAAAAAAAAAAAAAAAAAAAAAAGTTTAACTCTGTATTTCTGCACTATTTTCTGACCATAAATGTAACTCTTATACTGGAATGCATAATGGCTGCCTTAATATCTCTATGATTCGAGTCTCATCTCTCAACTTCCTTAACTGAGTCTTCTACATGCTTTGTGTCATCAAAAGTGGACACCAAAAAGGAACCTTTATTCTAGTCTTTGTCCTTATCACTAAATGGCAGAGTATGCTTACTAGTTAAACTAGAAATCTTGTTTCATATCTCTCATTTAACTTCTTTTATTTTGTTTCAATATAATTTTTCATTTCTTGAAATAAGCCACCCCCTGCTCTCCTGCAAATCCTTCTAACACTTCATGCTTTATTGTGATTATTGCCATTCTCTGATTTTTAGTTTTATTTATGTATATTTTTTGTTTATATCTGTCTATGTATTATGTGCACTCCCTGCCACTTTATATTTGCTTAGGTTTA